GGGGGGGGGGGGGTATAGATATGCAGTTGGTGCCGTGCCGTGCAGGCACACACAAACCGCCCACAAGGGGTGCGATCAATCATGCAGTAATCACATAACCACATGATGTCTGTCTGCATTACGCCATCGGCCAGGCAGCAAGTCTGTCCATCTGACCGTCTGTCCATCTGTCCGTCTGTCTGTCTGTCTGTCTGTTTGAGCCGCACACACTATCTTTCTTATCTACACAGATCGAACTCCAGAGTAATCAATCATAGACTGGATGTACTCGCCTCAAACAACAGCACACCTGACAACACGACACCTGCTCGACGGTCGGTAAGTCACCAGCTAGCCAACCACACCACACCACAGCAGCGTGCCATCACGCACGCAGCCTCTGCCCACGCACCCACCTCACACACACACACACACACGAGGGAGGGAGAGAGGGAAAACTGGACCACGATTAATTACGCAGAAAGAGCTAGAGAGAGAGAGATTAGTAGAGGGGAGGGAGGAAGGCCACACACACAGAGAGAGGGAAGAAGCTGTGACTGAGCAGACACCTTCCTCCTTCATTTGTCGTCCCATGTGGGGCGGTCACACGCAGATAGAGGCAAGAAAGGAAGGAGTAGTCCGTCACCCACACCACAAGACAGACAGACAGACAGGCGGGCAGGGAAAGAAAGAGCTGACACTGCAACTCACCCACTCGATGGTGGTGCTGCGCTGTGGTCCGCTCGATCGATCGCCTCAGCTAGCTATAGATAGATAAATAGAGAGGCAGGCAGGCAGGCCTGTGTCCGGTGACTCGACTGACTGATCAGGGGCTGCACGTACGTACGGTGAGGACAACACAACACGCGCATCGCATGGACTGATTCGCTCACAGCTCGTCCTTCTCCTTCTTCTGCGCTCGGTCTGCACACACACACACACACACATGCATGCATAGCCAATCGTACGCACCCCTTTCCAGGTGCTGGCTGGCCGCTCGCACAGCACACGTATGCATCCATGCGTACCGGCCCATTTGGGCATGTCCGGGACGTTCTTGAAGCGTGCATCGCCGCCCAGGATCTTGTCGAGCAGATCCTTGATGTTATCCGATGTCGCATCCTGCAATGCAACGCAATGCAACACACACCACGACGGACACGCACTATGGACGTTGCTCGTCTCGTGGATCGAGAAGAAAGAGGTGTGTGAGTGTCGTTTTTTCTTGCCTTGTCGTCTCCCATTTTGGTGAACCTTTTCCGGTCCTTCTTGTTGTTGAAGACCACCACTGAAGGATACTTCTCTACCTCAAACAACTGCACACGCACACACAGAGAGAGGGGCAGACCAGAAAGGCCATCCATCCATGAAGGAGATGGTGTGTGTGGGGTGTGGTGTGGGGTGTTGGGGGTAGGGAAAAGCGCTCACCGTGTGGAACTCTTTTTCGACGTCCATGTTCATCCACATCCAATAAAACGTCACACCCCTTCACATCACACAGACAGACAGACAGGAGATAGATGCTCATTGGATTGGCTAAGTCATCTATAGTGGGCAGGGCATTCACCTCACTCACCTGTCAGCCAAGTGTGAGACGAATTTGGCCTTGAGGTCTTCGAGCATCTTCTCCTCGTCGGCCGCCAACGTGTCGCCCCTCTTCAGATATATCACACACAGACCCTTTTGCTGCATGCATATGTAATACATACATGACACACACAGCACAGCACAGCACAGCCACAAGCACTTCAACTCGTTTTCGTGTTGGTGTTTGTTTTGTATCCCTCCGGTGACTGTCGTGACCTCACCTTGAAGCAGACATCGTGTTGCGACGCCTTGGTGAGCTCGGGGATGCTCTGAACCAGCCTGCATCCCATCCACCACACACCAGCCACACGCTTCCCTCCCGACATCCATCGGTCCATCCACTCACGCATCCATACATACATACCATGGTTTGGCGTCAGCTCCGCCCGCGGCGCCCGCCTCTCCGGCCGGCCCATGGTCGGCGAAGCCGCCGCCCTTGACGAACGTCTCTGAGAAGACGTTGAGCCACTCGAACATGGGCGTGAATTTCATGTCGCCCTTGTAGTGCTCGTCCTTCTTGTCCACACGCTTGACCAGCAGCTTGGGGAAGGTCGTCACTTTGAACTTCTTGACCAGCTCCGTGTGCTCTTGACTGATGAACCCGAAGTCCAACTTGTCCTGATCGGCACGTCCGAGTGTGTCCGTGTGTCAATCAAATCGGGCGCATGCTCATGTTCATGCTTGCCTTGAATTCGTTTGACAGCGCGTTGAAGAGCACTGGCGGCTTCTGTTTGTTGGAGAAGAGGAGCACCTTGGGGACGGCAATGTGGGTGGTGAGGAACTCGTCCATCTTGGCCGGCTCGATCACCACCACATTACTGGGGATGTGACGCGTCAGGTGCCCCGCCAAATCCTTCTTGGTCAACGAGCCCTGATGGACCGATATATCGTTCACACACCAACACGCACACAAAGTGTCCATCCGCTGTCTTGGTGTGTGGTGTTTGTTGTGTTGTGTGTGCATCCATCTGACTGACTGACCGTGTAGGGGTATGCTGGTATGGGGTTTGGCGGGTAGACGACCACTGTGGGGTGCTTGTCCACATTGCTGTCCTTGCACAGCACCGGCCAGTCGTCGCAGTCAACCGCTGCTATCTTGATCATCCCTACAATGATGAGCACACAGACAGACAGGATGATCCATCTGATCTGCCTGCCATGTTTGCGTGTGTGCGCAGGTGAGGTAGGTGCATGTGCTGACCTTTCAGCTCTTTGGCCAGCTCATTGTAAGGCCCGTCGATGAATTTCTTGCACTCGTTGTTCTTGGTGTAGAAAAGCACGGCCGACACCTTCCTGTCACGAAACTTCCGAATCGCCTGACACACACACGCACACAAAGCGAAAGCACATGAAAGAGTGCTTCTCAAGCGTCGCTACCCTCCCTCATCTTTGCACAAAGGCAGGCAGGCGGAGCAGTGGCCAGATTCGGTCTTTCTCTGTGTGCTGTCAGCTCACGCCGTCGAATGTTTGTCCCGTGACGGGCTGTATGTCGTGTTCCATGGTGTCGATGAACTCCTTGGCCTGCCCGCTGCTCCGCCTCCATAACACGCCGCACAAGGCCAAGAACAGCACTTGCCTCATGACGCGAGACGGACGCCCAACACGTGCCAATGCAGTTGCTGCACGGTACTGTATGTACTCGTCCACTTGTTGGCGCAGATGACTCACTTGGTTCACACGTGGAAATGCGAGCTTAGAATCCAAGAAACCCTGAACCCAAGAAACCCTACTCTAAGAGGATCGGTCAGCCTAGCTGCATTCCTTATTTCTCCTGATTCCGGACGATTGTGAGGAGGGGCCTGGTGTGGCAGATAAGCAGGAATCCCAAATCGGCAGAATTTGGCCGCAGATTCCCTTTCCCCCACGGTGAGTTGAGGCGACCTTTGTGCGTGGAGGTGGGTCAGGCAGGTGGCTTCCCGTTAGTTATGCCGCTTTGATTTGCACTGCTCTCTCTCTCTGTTGATTCAGGTAAGGTGTTGGTTGAGCCGAGCCGTGCTGTGCATCCACAGACAGATGGCAAACCTGACGATAGACACATCGGGGGCCGACGATGAGGACGCCCTCTCGGACTTCGACAAGTCACCCACCACACCCGTGAGCCACGGATACGTACAGCAGCCACGCACCACCATTGCCTTTGTCGCTGTCTCGTGTTTTGTCTCGCGGTGTCGTCCGTGTGAATGTCGCGCGTCGCATATGGCTGCAGGGCGGTGGGGCGCTGGCCGAGTCGAGGCTCGAGTCGATATCCACCATGCGCCAAAGGGGCAAGCAGACCACACACATTCACACAACCACAGACAGACACATGACATGACACGTAGGTGTGCCTGTGTGTGTGTGTTGTTGGTCGCCCTTTGGTGCAGGTGACGACGAGGAGCGCGAGGGCGACGAGGATGAGTTGGAGGAGAGGGAGGAGGGCGAGGAGGAGGGACCTGAAGAGGCCCCACTGCTGCCACCCATCGACTTCGACAGTGAAGATTACAAGTATAGGGAAAGACAGGGCCCATCCAGCCATCCATCAGCCCTCTATGTCTCAGGCTAAAGCAGGCATCAATAAGTGACGATCGCAAGGTTTGGGAGGTCGGCAGAGACGCGTCCCAGAAGAAAATCAAAGGTGGGAGACCTGATTGGCAGCACAGTGCGCGCAGCCCTGTAGTGTGTGTGTGTGGTGCCTGTGTGTCAGGTGGTAAGGGTGGCAAGAAGGGCAAGAAGGGCAAGAAGAAGCTTCAGTTGATTGAGGTCATGGACATCCCGCGAATGCCGCTGTCACTCATACTGCTGCCAGAGATGCTTGTCAAGAGGCAGGTCAAACAGTAGACCAAGAAAGAAAGAAGTGGACGAACGAATGAAGTCTGTACTCCCCATCACCTGAGGGGTCAGTCGCATCGCATATACGGGGTGGGTGGGTGGGTGGAATGGTTGGTTCAGATCACGCATGCATCCATGTGGTGAGTTCGTTGTCTTTCCTCTCTCTGTACACACACGAATCGCTACGGTAGGTACCACACATCCATCCATCGGCTGGCCAAAGCGTCACTCATGGCCAAAAGACACAGACAGACGGCGGGAGAAAAGAAATGGCCCGCCGTGCCGTGCGTCGATACATGCATACGCCCCTGGTGGCCATGCATCTCATTCATTCATCGTCTTTTGGCGGCCTCCTTGGCGCGTGCCTGTCTGTTCCTCTCCTCGTTCCACTTGTCATAGTCGAAATACGCACCCATCTGACGGCACGCCTGCTCACACATGACACACAGAAACACATGCATGCATGCATCACCGAGTCCCGCCCTTGTGTGTGTGGCTCACGTACCCTGTCCGCCATGCTCTGGCCCAGTGCCGGCTTCTGCACACACACACACGCGCGGGGAGAGCAACTCAGATGAATGATGAGTATGTTTGAGAAGTCTGTGTGTGTGTCTGCGCATTGGCTGACGTTCGATGCCCTCCCCGAGTAGATGTTGAAGAATGCCGCCTGTGCATACTCGGAGCCAGGACCCTACACACACACACACACACACACACACACCCCTCATACACAAGAGTGCCATCAGATGCATCCGTGCGACCATTTCTCACCTGTTGCTCGGGGACGGCAGGTTGCTCCTCGATGGCGGGTGCGTCGTTCCAAAACTTCCGCTTGCCGCCCACCGCTGCACCCGCCGCACCTTTCGCCTTGGCCTTAGCCTTGCTCTTGACTATCCGCTGCTCCGTCTTGGCCGCCGGAGGCTGCACAGGTTGACCACCTGCCGCGACAGCCGCCTGAGAGTACGATGATGCACCCGCGGGCGCCGGCTGCGTGTAGTTGGACGGGAACCAGCCCTTGCGGTCCTTGCACTCGCCCCACCACCACCCAGTCTTGTTCCACCATGTCACCTGAATGAAGCAACAAACACAACGCAACACAACACAACACAAAACAAGGAGGGACGAAGGATTGACCTTGTTGGCACGTCTGTGTTGCGTGCGGTGTTGTGTATGTGTGTGTGTGTCACCTTGATGAGGTCGCCAGCACTGAAGGAGAGAAACTTGGCCGAGTCTGAGTCTGGCTGAGGACTGTAGGGCGAATATGCGCTCACAAAGAAGTGATCAGGAGGGACGATAGGGGTCTCGACTGCTAGTGCCATCTCTGTCGCTTTTGTTGCCTTCCGCATTGGCGGTTTCATGAATGCCCTACACATTAGCTCGCAGAAGAAGGCCCTCCCTGAGCACTTCTGTTCGGCAAAGGCCATTGGACGATGCTGACGTGTCAGATCTCGTGCCAACTGCAATGCAGATGGACAGCCCTGCCAGCCATTCTCATCTCTCTCGTCGTTCAGGTCACCCAATCCATTCTCGCCTGTGACCAGCGTGCGCCCGCTGCCTTCATTGCTCCCCTTCCCTCCCTCCAGCGCACATCCCGTCATGCACTGAGGCGGCTTTCAGCTGCTGCTGATGACGCATCAACGCAAGTGCCGGAAACAGAGGGGCCAAGGCCACCGATGGAAAGCCCGACAGATAAGAGGAAGCGAGTTGTCGTGGTTGGCGGCGGGTGGGCAGGGTTCGGTGCTGCGAAGCATCTGGCAGAAGAAGGATATGATGTGACTTTGTTAGACGCGAGTCCAAATCCCGGGGGGCTGTCGAGTGGCTGGAGGACCAAGGAGGGGCGGACTGTGGAAGCGGGCATCAAAGGATTCTGGTATGGACCAAGAGGGAGAGAGAGAGAAAGGAAGAAAAGGAAATAAGGAAATGTGACTGTCTGCCAGGTACCAGTATCCAAATATCTTCTCCCTGATACATGACGACCTCAAGATCACACCCTGGCCTCTCACCGAATGCACTGAGGTGGGCTGCAGACACCGAACCGAATGGATGCAGAGCGGGTCTTCTGATGTGCCTTGTGCGTATGTGCCTTGAAATATTTACAGAGCGGCCTCTGGTCCCCATCTGGCCTGCAATGTGTCGCCCCCGTGATGCAGAACAGACAGCGGTTTCCCTCGCCGCTCGGACTCATGTACTATACGTCATTTGGCGATTATCGGTTCCGGAACCTCCCCTTGGCTGACCGAGCCTCGATGCTCCCACTGCTGACTGCTGTCCTAGAGCATGATATTGACGACGACGCCTACAGGGAATACGACAAGCTCAGCGCCCATGAGCTTTTCCGGCGATTCGGCGTCTCTGACAGGTGAATTGTTCGTGGCGTCTAGGAAATGTAGTGTTCGAACCCCTCTCCGTATTTGTGTGTGCCTGCAGGTTATACGAGGAGTTCCTGCGACCCATCCTCCTTGTCGGCCTGTTTGCGCCGCCTGAAGAGCTGTCAGCAGCAGGTAGGGGCGCACGGACAGGATTCATGGAACGACCTTCTCGGCATCCACGTGTGGTCATCAGTGACGCTGGGGATGCTATACTTTTATGTGTTGGGGCACCAATATGACTTTGACGTCGCGTGGTGCCGCGGCACACTCAGCGAGCGGATCTTCATGCCATTGGTGTCCCGCATTGAAAGCTCGGGGGGCACTGTCAAGGGCGGCCAGTTCGTCACCAGCATCGACGTCGACGAACAAACGTCAGCCACGTGCAAGAAAGCCGTCGATCTCAACGGATTTGCTCGCTTCGCCTCTCTTTTTGTTTTCTTCAGTGGTGCGGTTCGTCGTGTGATGGCGAAGGATGCCGCCAGTGGCGAGGAAAGGGTGTTCGAAACGGATGCCGTCGTCATGGCTGTGGGGATAAACGCCATGAAAAAGGTGTGTATGTGCTTTCACACACGGCGTCTCTGTCAGCTGATGTTCTATGCTGTGCTTTGCTGCAGCTGGTGACTCAGTCGCCGTCGCTTAAGCGGCCAGAGTTCAGAAAGGTAGGTCGCAGACAAGAGAGAAGGTGCAAGTAATGGTTGCCATGTTTTCGTCGCGTCTGTCTGTGCAGGTGATGAATCTGAAGTCGCTCGACGTCATCTCGACGCGGGTGTGGCTGGACAAAAAGATCGATTTCGAATATCCGTCAAATGTCTTCTCAGGTGACCAACATGGATGCACAGCAGCCCTCGGTGTACGTATGATTGTCACGACCCCTCCTTTTCATGCAGGCTTTGACGAGACGGTTGGCGGGACGTTCTTCCACCTAAACGATTTGCAGGACGAGTATCGGGATGCCGAGGGCTCCGTGGTGGCGTGTGACTTCTACCATGCCGCCGAGCTGCTGCCCCTTTCGGATGAGCAGATCGTCGGAAAGGTGTGTGAATGTGTGTGCGATTGAGTGAATGAATCCCCCTGCTGTGTCTTTGTTGCTCGCTTTGCCAGATCTTCTCCATGCTGTCCACTGTGAAGCCTGAGGTGTCTTCCGCGAAAGTTGTGGACTCTGCTGTCCTTCGCTTCCCCCAAGCAGTGACAGCGTTTGCGCCAGGAACCTACGCCAACAGGCCCACACAGACGACCTCCATCAACAACCTCTTCCTTGCGGGCGACTGGGTCAGGCTCAAACACGGCGCACAGGTACACACACACACAGAGAGATGCACACACACACATGGACACCTACTCAGGGTCTGTCGCAAGAGCGCGCTTACGTGAGTGGCCTCGCCGCCGCCAACCTGGCCGTCACGGCACTCGGCCAGGGCAAGACGGCAACCGTAAGCAATGAGTGACACAAACTCGAGACCCACAGCCATCCCTCGTGTGTGTGGTGTGTAGATTCTCGACACCGAGGAGGACGAGGTGCAGGTGCAGCTTGGCAAGAGGGTGCTGAAGGGTTTGAGGAACACCTACTCGACAGTGCTCGGGAGGCCGCCGCCCAGCCCCCTGCCCAACCTGATCCCCAGATTTTGATGCTGACGATGACGAGATCCGTGGATGGGTAGATAGATATGTTTGTTGAGTGGTTTGTGGATGAAGTTGACATGTGTTGGTGTGTATGTGTATGCGGACCAAAGGTGTACATACGACCCTGCCTGGAATGGCGGCACATATTCATACATATCATTCTCACGGAGTCCAGGGGGGGGGGAGACGAGCCGGTGGGGGTCGTCTCACGCCGGTCGCGACCTTCCTGAAATTTGCTTCCAGGTGGGGCGGAGCGTTGGGAGCACGCCGCCATCTGCACTGTATCAACTTGTGGCTCGACTGTCGCAACTGACTGCGCAGCTGCACACGTCCAACTGCTGCGCCCAGAGATGGTGCTAACGTGGCCCCCCTTTACAGCCCAGAGCTCAGTTCTATGGCTCCTGTTGGCCGCTCATGTGTGGGGGAGCTGCTCGCCACATCGCTCCCTCGCCCCCTCCTCTGCAAACAGCACCGAGACAATGCTCCGCAAACTGGAGAGGCCCTCTGGGTGGAAGAGAATGCGAAGGAAAGCAACACGCAGAAATGGCGGACACCCTCGGACAGGTGAGGAAACGGATAAATGGTGGTGGTCCGATTGTCTTCGTCTTCCTTGCCTTGATGTGATGTGCAGGCCGTCAGACTTGTCATGGTCAAGGAAACGGCACTGACAGCAGCTTTCATGAGCATGGTACAGCTGCGGGGGGCGCCGCTGGCGACTCACCCAAGGGCGGAGACAGTGGCTCTGCGGAGGACGACGGCACAGTCGAAGACATATCGGCTCTCGGCAGCAAGTTTGCCTCCATCTATCAGACCGGACTGTGGGGCAAAGATGAGGCCGGGGAGGGCACCTCGGGCGGAAGCTCTCTGCCCGAGCAGACAGTCGGCTATCGGGGATACCACGGCTATCATGGAAGGTCGCCCTCCCTCCCCCCTCCTTGTGTGCCCCACTGCCACGCGCACGCACCTTGTTGTGTCGATTCATCGCCCGCCAAGTCCATCACCAGGCAAGTCAGTCGGGAAGTCGCACGGGCCGCGGGGGCGTACGTACTCACTTATGTAGGTATTACGGCTATCTATGGGCTGTGTTTGATTAGCATACTTACGCCGGAAATAGCAAGACGGATAAGGGGCCAGCCATCCATGACATACATGCCAGAACAACAGCAAGACAGCGAGAAAATGATGACTGACGTAGATGAGCCTTCCTTCTATTGCGGACAGCAAAAATATGCAGATGCCCCCTTTCCCTCTCCGTCCCTCCCTCCCTTGCAACAGGTCGCATCAGTCAGCCGGGCCGGAATGTGTGTATGAGTGTGTGGGTGGGTGGATACAATTATAGGGGCAACAATACAATACGGAGGCATGCGTGTCTCGATCACGCCTTATACTTGGCAGCAATGGCGTCGTTTCTTTCCGCCTGACGATCCATCATCTGCAAAGCCTGCGTAGGGACAAAGACAGACACAATCCAGCCGTCAGAGACAGATCATATCGTGTCACGTGTGTCTCTTACGCGTTGTTCCTCCTGGCTGTAGCCTGGGTGCTGATGGCCGCCTGGATTCAGTATGGATACGGGAACGACACACATAGATGCATCCATGGATGGCTGGCTGGCTGGCTCCGTGTGGTGGGTGTCTCAGGAGTCACCTTGCACAGTGGATGCCGGGGGGCTGAACATCGACTGAATCTCCTCATTGGTCGCCATTTCGTCATGGTTATGGTGGTGGTACTGCTGCTGTCCATGTCGGCCGGTCTCCCCCTCCTCGCCCGAGCCGCCATAGCCGTACTCATCTGACTGCCGGCGGTTCTGCGCATACGCGGCTGGGTCTCGTGCAGCCGGGGGGAGGCTCATGTCCTGCCGGGGGCGCTGCTGCTGCTTTTTCTTGAGCACACGGCGGGGGGCACCGGCGCCACCATCAGTCAACGGAGTGCCACTGATCCATGAACGAATGCATGAAACGAGGAATGGAATAGGGGAGTGTCATGTCATGTGGATGCGGTGTGTGTTTGCTCAGCGTCACATGCCATCCACTGACCGTATGGGGTCGTCGTGTTCGAGTTGGAGCGGGCTGTTGTCGTAGAGCTTGTGGCTCAAAGGACGCAGCAACTTACGACCACCTAACAGCAAGGAAGAAACGGAGGAACGGAAAGGAGGGAGGGAGGGAGGAACCACACGACACACAAAGGAAGGGGTCACAAACCTATTAATTTGCCACGTGGTTCGTTGGCAGGATGTCCCATTGTCATGAGCTAGCTACCTGCTGTGGGGCTCTGGCTGTGAGCTTTGTTGGCCTCGCGCGACAAAAACGAAGGCGGGCCGGGCATTGACGCACTCGAATGGCTGCATACATACATACGTCTCATGCACACACACACACACAGGGAGATGTGTGTGTGTGGTGTTGGCCTACACGAAAGGCGCTTTGCCAGGAGAGAAGCCCGCAGCTGGGGCGTATTTCGGCGATCTGCTGGGGCCCACGCCGCCGAACGCCTGACCGAATGGCCTCATCTTGGCACTGCATTGCACAGACAGACGGACGGATAAGGAGACACATACGGATGATGAAGGCGAGCAGCCAGCTTGGCAGCCAGCCAGCCAGCCACGTGCATACCGACCGGTAGGAGTCAGGGTCATTCACGTCCATCCATTTGAAGAGGCGGAGGCGTACCTTGGCCTCATCTGCATGAAGGAACACCGGAGAGATTGAGGCATGACATGGCGAGCAGGTAGTGTTGGCGTGTTTGGTTGATGTCTCGTCACCGACCGTTGGGTGGGATGTTGTGTGGGGGCCTGGTGAAGCCGACACTCGCACACTTCAACAGACACGCCTGTGTACGAGAGAAGAGACAAAAACAGCCATGTGTGCGTGAGGGCCGAGAGCCGACGGCGGATATGGATACGCATCCACCTACCTTGAACTGTTGGAAGTCGAGGTATTTGTTGCCCTTGGATGCGCTGTGGAACGCCCCCGTGGCCTCCTCTTTGTTGAGCACCGTCTCATACAAAGCGAAGTCCTGACATGCACCACACACACATGCTGTTGTGCATGTATGGAAGGCTGGCTGGCTTGCGGTGTCTGTCTGACCTTGAGCAGCTTGATGAACTCCGAGAGGCTGAGTGATGTCGTTTGGCGCGCTATGACGTCAAAGGTGCCCTGCACCCTGAAGTTGGCACCAACTGCATCCTTGTGACCCTGCAATGTACGCACATGGCAGTCAGCCATACCCACGGATAGATACCCTTGTCTCTCTCCCTCTGTATGTGTGTGAGTGTACCTGTTGTCTGGAGTAGAAGAGGAAAATCTCTTGCAAGGCTTTGAGCTGCCGCCCACTGATCATGGCCGCGCCCTCTATGCCAACAGCAGGGCGGTGGTGCTCCTTACGACGGAATTCTGACCCAACAAAACATATGGAGCCATCGATTTAGCGAGTGTTTCTGTGCAGCTTGCCAGTATGGGTGTCCTGTGCCTGAGCGCCCGCCTCGATGGCTCGCAACTGGACCTCCAAAGTCCGCAGAATTGGCCTAAACAAGGCGCGGGCAAAACAGATGAGGGATACAGTGCATCCCACGTATGTCTTCCCTTCGGCCACATACATGATGAGCTGTATGTCGAGTTGGTTGCGTGTCTTGGAAATGATCTCGCTGTACTGCTGGATGCTGTGGATGACGGTTGTGCGGAGCTTGAGTGATGGGCCGCTGAAGCCCTCGAGCGGCTCGGCCACCTCGTCCATGCGGTCGTCGGTGTCGGTCCTATCCATCTTGCCCCTCTCCGCCGTCGCACCACTGGCCTCCTTGGCCGACTGCTGCACGGGCTGCTTCTCGGGCTGCTGCATCATGGGAGGGTTGCAAAGAGATACAACGAGACTGGAATTGTCATTGTGTCGGGCTCCTCCTTCCGTCCTGACCTTTTTCTTGTCTACGGTTGGCTGTTGCAGCTGTGGTTTGTCGGTCACGCCATGGCCCACCTTGCCCATGACAGCAGCCTTCGCCTCATGCTTGTCTTGGTGGACTGTCTTATCCTGCGCCTCCGGCGACTGGGGCGCTTCCGCATGGTCCCCAGGCTGTCGGTCTTCAATCTCGGCCTCGCCACGCTCCGCGGGCTGCTCACCATGTGCCTCATCAGCCGCCGGCTTGTCTGCATGATGCTCTGGTTCTGGGGGCGCCTGTTCAGGAGACAACAGAGATAGAGAGATGGATCATCATCATGTGTGGGGAGGGGCGACAGGGTACCTCCTCTTGGTCGGCGGCAGGTTGCTTCTGGCCCTGGTCCTGCTCTTGGTGTGTCGTGTCCTCCTTGGTCTCATCGGCCCCACCCTCAGCCTCACCCTCAGCCTCCCCCTCGGCCTCTCCCTCAGCCTTCCCCTCAGCCTCGCCCTCCTGATCCGCACCGGTCTCCTCCCCAACTACAGGCGGTTCTTCACGGGCCTCTTCACCAGCCAGACCTTCAGCTTCTGCTCCTTCCGGGCTGCCTTCATCGGCTCCCTCGTCCCCCCCAGCCTCCTCGTCGACCTTCCTCTCCCCCCCGCCTCCGGTGTCCTCATCTCCATGCCCCACATCGGCAGACGGATGGTCACCCTCCTCAGTCGGCTCGTTTTCAGCCACAGGGGGTTCGTCAACTGCTTCGTTTTCAGCCATGAATCAACTGCGCCGCGAGGGTCAAGCTCGCAATCCTGTCCTGAGGGATCCGGCCGTTCGCCAAAGATGGCGCGTCCGTTGCTCCTTTCGTTAGCTGCTGTGGTATCCGCTGTGTGTTTGTTCACTCCTCCCGTCGCACCCGCCTCCATCGAGTGCGAAGGCGCAGACTGCCCCGTGGACAGCGGAGAATGGACAGACCAGAGCGGTAATGCACCACAGATACATCGGCGGTCACGATGGGGGGTCTGGGGATGGGTGAATCTAGCCATGTTGTGTGTGTGGCGGGTGCAGGCGGATCGTTATCTTTTCTGGAGGAGGGTGAGGGCGCAGGAGCGGCGGAGCAGCTCAGGCGGCTGGCGGATGACATCGAGGCGACCCGGCGGCTCATCGATGAGGGTGTCAGGTCCATCCACGGCAGCAGCCGGTCTATAAATGACACCGCACAGCGACTTGCCGGTATGTGACGACACAGAAGGGATGGTGGGATGGATGGATGGATGGACGGACGGACGGATGGATGCATCTATGGATATGGGGGATGGATGGAATGCCATGTGGCCTGTGTGTATGGTTACCATGCAGCGGCGGCTTCCTTGGTGGAGTCCGAGTCGCATCAGGGCTATGGGCCTGACTGGCCCATGCAGTACGACCCCTACCTCCACAACCCGAAACAACACAAATTTCAATACGACAAGTTGGTCAGCAGATTGGGGGTTGGGACTCGATGCGATGCGCTGATTTGTCTACGTGTGGTGCGTTTGTGTTGGGCGGGGCTGCAGTACTGCCCGATTCCTGCGCCGGAAAAGCTTCTCAACAAAGTCGCAATTGGCAGACAAAACATCACGGACGAAGGCGACTTCAGGCTGCCCACGAAAGTCTGGCAAGAGAGCCACATCGTCATCATGCAACTGGTGAGTGATTGAGCTGACGCCCGCAACACAACACAACACAACACAACATCACACACACGGACACATACACACATCCGTCCATCTCTCCGTCTGTCTGTCTTGTTGTCCGTGTGGGCACGTCTGTGTGGGTCGGTCGGTCCTCGACAGAACGCTGAGTGGACATGGCCAATTGAGTACTACAAGCAGATCTGCAGCGATCCCAAGAAGTACCGCCCCAAATGGATGTCCGAAGACAGCTGGTGGGCGAGAGTCGGGAACACAGAGAAACACAAGGCGAAGAAACTCCAAAAAAGACAAACTGTGAGCGACATGACACTACACGGCACCTCAACCGTTCGTTCGTTGGTTGGATATACGCATTTTCTGTCTGTGTGTGTCCAATTCACCCATCCATCCATCCATCCATCCATGCGCCTGGATCCAGTGAGTGTGCGTGGTACGACAAGCCCGGCCAGCCCAACTACGACACGGCCATCAAGGACCACTACAAGAACATCGCCCGCGTCATCGAAGAGCACAACCCGGACATCGTTCACCTCGTCGAGGTACCACCGAACCAACACCCAGGCCACACATTCACACCACATACTTTTGTCCGACATCACACGATTCGACGAACCGACGGACTCGCCCCCCTGTCTCGCTCTCTGTGTGTGTGTGTGTGTGTGTGTCTGCGTGTGTGTGTGTGTATGGGTATCTGTGTGTGTGTCAGCTGGGTGACTGCAACACGTTGTATGACATCCGTGACGCGATGACCGAGGAGAGCAAGGCGCAGTACAGGCCCTTCATGGTCCAACAGTTCATGAAGGGAGGGCTCAAACCAGGACCCAACCCCGGGGGTAAAGAAAGGTTTCCCCCTTTCGGCAACCACCACTGGTATGCACGCACAGACGCACCCCACGTCCACCCATTGATGTACTACGTACGTGGATTGGTCTGTCTGTCTGCCTGCCTGCCTGTCCGTGTGTCCTCCTGTGAACGTGGTTCTGTGCAGTGGTGTGTTGTCCAAGGTGAATCTGTGGGCGAAGAAGACAATGATCAGGCCATTCGATGGACCGGTAAGCACGCCATCACCAAAGCAAGGCCGCCAAGCCAGCCAGCGAGCGGAAATGCATATGTGGGTGTGTTTGCGCTTCCCCTGCGCCCCTGCATTTGCGTATGCAGGGCGATCGTCTCCCCGATGCTATGTCTGGGTGCGGCCACAAACCCAGTCCCAATGACAAAATAGCGGAACCGGTGAGACAAAGACCTCACCCATCTCACCAAGCCACCCAGCTTGACACGGATGGATGGATGGATGGATAAATGGATGGATGTCTGACTCCTGCAGTACCGTTTCTGGTACGCTCGGTTCAACCTGGATGACATCAAGGTGGGGATGATCGGGCTGCACCTCAAGGCCATCCCCAAACCCGACCCACCCGCACACGAATGCTCACAGCGGGAGGCAGAGGTACGCACGCGCACGCACATGTACAGTAACATATATGTACACATACTGCATGCGTGTACGCATTCTTACACGTACATGTACATGTCATTTGTTGGTTTGTTTGCATGTCTGCAGGCCATAGCCGTGTCTGATTTCATCGAGAATCACATGGCGAAGAAGACGAAAAGCAGTGGCTATCCTCCCGACGAGCTCATCATCATTGGAGACTTCAACGTACGTCAGCTGACCCACAACGATCGGGCAGGAGGGCAGGCGGCTGTGTTGTGTGGGTGTGAGGTGTGTGCGTCCATCGTCCTATCGATCTGTCTGTCTGTCTGTCTGCAGGATTACGAGACGCCGCACCCCAAGACTGGGGAGCCCTTCTACACGTCACCTGGGAAGGCAAAGGACTACTACGTTCCAAACAGGTCAGGCAGACCATTCGTGACTGAATCCACCTATGCATGTCAAGCTGTATGTCTGCATTCGTGCAGTCGTACGCTGCCGATTCTGCGCCAGGGCACGGGCACCAGGTGTGTATCTCCTTCCCCGCACCCACGGCCGCCAGATGGACACATGCCATCAGTTCACATATCCATCGACGGATCTGTGTCTGTGGTGTCTGTGCATGTGTGTAGGCCGCTGAAGTATCGTTTGGCCAATGCGGGCTGGAAAGTGCCCCGGAATTACCGCGGCACCAGCTACTGGGACGGTCCGTACGCACCTCATCTCACACCACACAAAGACCTACACCGATGAATGAATGTCATGCTGTCTGTCCATCCATCCATCCATCTTGTTTCATTGGTTGGCGTGGTGTCAATCAGTTAGCGATGAGGAGATGTGGGCTGACAAGCCTACCCACTTCCAAGACGGCGGCCCACTCGACCACATCCTGGTCACCAAGAACCTATACAAGTATGTGCGTATGCACACATAGGTGCCACCCACTCATTCAGTCGACAGACAATCATGTGCTCTCCATCTTTGATTGATTGCGTCTGTCTGTGTGTGTCAGGGCCATACGGTCGGTGGAAGTAGTCAGCACATATCGGCCGGTCGGCGGGTCAGTGACTGACTGAATCAACCAACTAAATGAATCAACGCACACAACTGTACATGTGTAACTGACATGACAGGGGCCGCTGCACCGATCACTTCGGCGTCAAGGTGAGAAACACACTGCTCGCTTGCTTGCCTGTTTGTGCTGCAATGGATGGATGGATGGATGGGTGGATGGACGGCAGATGGTCATCAATGTCGACTGGCTGCGCAACCTCAGAGGAAAGCCATACAACAAACAGCAGCCGGTACGCTCAGCCCAATACACACAGACACGTGTGTATTTCGTGCGGCCCGTGTGGTGCGATGTGCTATGCAGAAGCCCAAGATGCCCGCATTCTACCCGCTCAGACCCCAGAATCCGGTCAGTCAGTCAGTCAGTCAGCCATTCCTTCAAAAGACTCCACACAGAGGCACCGACGTGGATGTATTCACGTCACGCGTTTCTGCGTGCGATGTGAGTGGTGCAGAATGACCTGCCGGTTTGCGATGCGAACGCGCCCGTTGTGAAGCCCTCGGTTGAGTTCAACAAGTACATGGAGAAACAGCCGTACAACAAGGAGAACCCGGAGGTCCGCAGCCTCTTCCACTCCAGTCTGCAAGGCATTGACAGGAACCAAAAGCTCGCCGAGATCGACGCCGAGATCGACCCACTCTACGAGGAGGATGAGTACACCGTCAACTACCCCAAGGGGCAGCGCCAGCCGTACCCGCTGGGCGGAGAGGCGCCTGCCGCCCCCGCTGCCGCGGAGCCGCCCAAGGAATGCGGGGTGGAGGACAAGGCGCCTGATTGCGAGGATGTCCTGTACATCGAGCACATGGCCGAGACAGAGCGCAAGCCGGAGGTGACGGAGACGGAGCCCGGGAAGGAGCACGCGGAGGAAGAGGAAGAAGAAGAGGAGGAGGTGAAGCCGAAGCACAAGCGCGGGCGCGGGCGCGGGCGCGGGAAGGGCAAATACACGATAACTACCACTGAGGACCGGAGAGAGGAGTAAGCGAGGCAACCACAAAAACAAACAGACAGATACACAGACAGACAGATACACAGACAGACAGGCCAGTCCCTGCGCTCTGCGTGTATCCATGCATGTGTGCCTGTGTGCGGGGATGGCTCCACTGCAATGCAGGGCGGGGCGAGCGCGCGAGGGAGACGAGGCGCAGTCGCGGACGAGCAACAGCAGCGCACCGACCTGGCCGTACGTGAACGACACGCTCGGACACACGTTGGCTTTCCTGCATTCATTGATTCATGTGTCTCTCTCTCTCTGTGCGTGTGTGCGTGTGTGCATACATGCGGTCCATGGGTGGCCTGTCTGCAGTGGGTGACACCTACATCTTAAATGAGGAGGAAGACGAGGAGGAACCGCCGAGGTCATAGAGGAGGAAGACATGGACTTTTCATAAACCACACAACACCACCACACAACACAGACCATAGAGGACACACACGTAGCGCGATTGGCTGGGCGGGCAGATAGACGGACGGGTCAATGAATGGATGGATGGATGGATGGATGGGTGTACAGGTTGTGCTTGTGTCATAGGGGCGGCTGTCGTGTGTGGAGAAAAGGGGTCGTCTGTGTTTTGCTGTCGTCCTTTCTTTGGCTGTCTGTCTGTCTGTCTGTCTGTGTCTTTTTATGCTGCCTGCCTGCACATGTCTGCTGGCTGGCTGTCTGCATTCCATCATCTTGCCTCTGTGCACGCACTGACACAGGCGGGTGCCGTGCATGCCACGGAGGCGCGAGGATGTAACACAGCTGGCCGGCAGTCACATGTGTGTGTGCATTCGTGCACGGTGCAGACGCTTGTTTGACACATCACATCCATATACACACGGGACAGTTTACTGAACATTGAGCATCGGCCGGATACGCACTCTCCCTTGCGCAAAGAATTCCTCGTCCACTCACTCACGCGCCAATTAAAGTAGCCCCCACCCTCCCACCCACCAACAGCAGCAGCAAACAATGTGCGACCCCCTCAAGCACAGGCAGAGATCATGTGAGTGGCGTGAAAGCGAAGGTCCTCATACCGAGGTCGCTCTGCGGTGGCCGAGCGCCACCAGCGCCACCACCACCACCAGCCATAATGGCTGGTGCAGTGCCGAAATACGACAGGTGCTTTTGGGCAGTCTTCAGCTGCCCCTTCGTCTGCACGGGGAGACACATATATGCTGACACATTGTGCCTCGTGGATCTTTCTGACCTTTTTTGCGCCCATTTCTGCGATTTCGACTTTTCTCTGCCAGTTGCGAAGCTGTGAGTCGAGCTCATACTGGTCGGCTTTCTGGTTGACATAGTCGACAATCTGGGGCATGTCGGGCGATATCCTGCTCTGCACACGCAACCTGCAAACCAGGCATCAACGTGTGTGTGTCGGACATACATGATCCATCCATGCTTCATGTGCAGATTTGTCGAGCGTGTCTCCCACCTTTTGTTGTCTTTTCTTGCGACTTCCTTCTCGTCGACGACCTTCTGTATGTCGTTCTCTGTCTTGGCGAGCTGCATCTTGCTGCTGGTGATGGCCCCGCGGAGGTTGCGCGCCTCCACACCCAGCTGACCCAGCCGCTTCTTCATACCGTTGAGCGTCTTGACCGTACGAGCTGAGTCGCATCCGTACAAAGTAATCCTTCATGTGTCCATGGCTCTGGTTTCGGTATGTGGCTGCGCGGACTCACCGGCAGTCCTCTTGAGTTTGAGCAGCTCCTGGTTTGCCTCCTCTATCTTGACAACGAACTGCTGGTTTTCGATCTGCAGCTGATGGAAGTCGATGTACTGCAAATCCTCCCCCGTCTCCTGCACACACAACACCAAAGACACATCAAATATACATACAGTGCGTCCACTGATCAGTCAGATACCCGCCCATCAAGCTGCCCGGCCAGCACCCACCTGTTTGGCTTTGAGCTGTTTTTCTGTCTTTCGGATCTGGACTTTGAATGAGTGGTTCTTCATGAGCAGCTTGTTGATGAGGAGGTCTTTGGCCGTGAGGTGGTCCTCCAGCCACTTGAGCACCTTCTCTGCCACGGTCTTGCCCGTACGGGCGTTCTCAGCACCAACGACAATGTCACGCCGAAACTCATACGCCTCCTTCTTGATCTGACCGAACATACGAATCCGTCCCGATCGGCACACAGATGTACATGTGTTTGCAAATTGGCATTGCTGGCTTACCTCGGCTGTCCTGACGTCCGTTTCCTCCATTAGTGCCTGAAACAAGGGAGGGAGGGAGGGAGGGAGGGAAGGGACGACACACATACGCAGACAGAGAGATGTACGGATCATGTTTGTGTCTCTCTTTCGTGTCTCTCTCTGGTTCGTTCGTTTGTGGCTGCCCTTTGTGAGTCGTGTCTGTCGGCAGGTCACCTTGAGTATTTCGAGGTTTTTCTCTGACGTCTTTTTGGTCTGGTCGATGTCCTTGGTCAGCGCCTCCACCTCGCTGTTGGCTATCCCGTAACGCTGCTCCAAAGTCAGCACCAATGGGGCACGGTCCTTCATCTTTCCTGCACCGGCACCCCGTCCATACAGACACAGACAATCAAAGACAAGACATGCATGGTCTGTTCGTTTCCATGCGTCCCTGGGTGTCTGACTGACCGAGTTGTTGGCTGCTTCTGAGTCTGGTTTTGGACTTGGTGGAGCTGATGGATGACGTGTCGTCTTCGTGTTCCTCCAATGGGTGCAGCTCCGTGAGCCGCTGGAGGTGGTCCGCCAGCATGGCGTTCTCCATCCGCAGGTCCTCGCATCCCTTCTGCAGACCCTCGATGCGCTGCTTCAGATCCTCATTCTCTTGAAACAGACGGTCACGGTCAACAGGCGGCCCGGTATCTGCCATCGTGTGGTCGGCGATGCGTTCTGCTTCCTTCCCTTTGCCCCCTTTGTGCGAGCTTGGGGGGCGACACGGGCGATCCCAGTCTCCCTTTTGGGACGGAGGATACGCCATCCTTCTTAGCCGCAGCAGACAAACAGCTCGAGCATTTCATCATCCAGCATCCGTTTACGACACTGATTCATTGATTCGACAGATCTCACCCTCCTGCACAATCATGGCGTTCGACACTGGCGACACCGCTTGGTACGAGAGATCTCGCATTTGCACACGAATGCGGAATGTGTATGTGTGTGCGCGTGTGTTTGTGTGTGTGTGTGTGTGTGTGTGTATGTGTGCAGGATGCTCATGAGTGCAGCACTGGTGTGCCTCATGACGCCAGGGCTGGCATTCTTCTATGGTATGCTATTTGCCGACAGACAGTGTCGTCGACAGGCACATGGCTGCATGTGTGTGCTAACAGGTGGACTCGTTCACCACAACAGCACATTGCTCATTGTTTTCCAGTCCTTCGTGTCTATGGTGAGGGGGGGTTGGAGGCGGCTGCACCGATCGGCATGGTCTACATACATCTCACTCACCGGTCGGTATGTCTGTCTGTGTTGCTTGCTGCAGGCCATCGTGGACGTAGTGTGGTATGTCATCGGCTACAGCATGGTGCGAATGGGCGGGGCCGGAATTGCGAGAGAGGGAGAGAGAGGACGTTTGGTATGTGTTTGGTGCTTTTCAGGCCTTCTCAGGCGGGGAAAACAACCTGGGCATCATAGGGGATGCCGAAAAGGCATTTGTAAGTGAGTGCACGCAGAGAAGGCAGGCATGTGCACGTGCACAAGGACGTCATTTGTGTGTGTCAACGCATTGTGGTGTGTGGGTTCTGTGGTCAGCTCATCGGCGTGGACGACACGAGCATCTCAGGCACCATCCCTGAGATGGTCTTCTTCGTCTATCAGGCACGCAGTGCACGCAAGGATGCCACAAGCGCACCCACACGCTCTCTCTTCCTCTCTGTGTTTGTATGTTGCCGCCGTTAGATGATGTTTGCCATCATCACGCCTGCTCTGATCACCGGGTAGGTCATGGCAGCCAGCGACATGATAAGTGAGCCGGTCGGTTTGCACATGGTTAGTTAATACAAACATGCATTGCAATGCAGGGCGTGGGCGGATCGCGTGAGGTTCCATGCGTACTGCATGTTCCTGCCCTACTGGCTACTCCTGGGTAAGTAGGTGGGCCTGGCCTCAACACAGACAGAACACGCCACGCCAATCCAATACGTACGTATGTCTACTTTACACATGAATCGAATCGTGTGAACTGGTGTATGCAGTGTACGTGCCGTGGGTTCACTGGGTGTGGGGTGGAGGCTTCCTTAGCGCATGGGGCGTCCTGGACTTCGTGAGCCTACAACACAACACACACAGATGCCATGCGATGCGATGTGGCCGCCCACATACATTCTCTCTTTCTCTCTGGCGTTGTGTGAACTGGTGCAGGCTGGTATGCATTGACATTTTTGTGTTGACGCGCACAGAAGGGCCGGCCGCACGTGTGTGTTGGGTTGCTTGTGTTGTGTGTGCAGGTGGCATTGTTGTGCACGCGACTGCTGGTATGGCTGCTGTAGCGTCTGTCATGTATGTCGGGTCGCGACCCAACCCCGAGGCCACCCCCCACAGCATTCCCCTCATGGCCATCGGCACAGCCCTCCTGTGGTTCGGCTGGTTCGGTTTCAATGCCGGCTCTGCCCTCAGTGTGGCCACGGAGATCGACGGCATCGATTACTCGGTGTGCGCTCTCGCGTTTGTCAACACGGAGATCAGCGCGAGCATAGCTGCGCTCGTGTGGATGCTGCTGGACTGGACCATCGACGGCAGGCCCAAGCTGACGGGATTTCTGGTGAGCGAGCACAGATATAAACACACACCGCGATATCAAAATGTCGTGTGCCCACACCAGACTGGCGCAATTGCCGGCCTGGCCACCATTACCCCTGCTGCTGGCTTCGTGGAAGCGTATGCAGCCATTGTGATTGGGTGTCTTGCCGGTGCCGTCTGCTGGCTGGCGGTGTGGCTCAAGAACCGATGGGATTTCGACGACGCTCTGGTGGGCCACACACACACACACACACACGCAGAGAGAGAGTGGGGGAGAGAGAGATAAACCGTTTGAGTGCCTTCTTGGTTGCATCTCATTCTCAGGATGTGTTCGGCGTCCATGGTGTTGGCGGCGTGCTGGGGTCCATCTTGCTGGGCCTTTTTGCCACGGCCAAGGTGAACCCCAGCGGTGCGGACGGCGCATTCTACGGCGGAGGAGGGGCTCTATTCGGCAAGCAGATCGTGGCGGTGCTCTTCGCATCCTTCCACTCCTTTGTTTTCACATACGGGGGCCTGTGGATCATTGACATGTGGGCAGAACGCACTGACATCATTCGTACACACACGCACATTCCTGTTCTTCCCCTCCCTCTGTGTGCTGCAGGATCTTCCCCGTGACTGTCATTCACGGCGGCCCCGAGTGTGAACTCGATCAGGCGGAGTTCGGGGAGGTCGCGTACGGCACGAGTTCGCCATCCGGATCGCCCTTCGGCAGCCCCAAGATCATCTCCAACACCACCGCCACCAAGCGCCTCACAGCGAACAAGCCCAAGCCCAGCAAAAAGACTCTGGATGTGTGTGAGATCCCCGACCGCGTCTTGTCGTTCAGCAGCTCTCGGGGCAATAGCCCAAAGCACAGCTGGGGCAACTCACCCAGGGGCACCTCACCCAAGGGCGTCAATGGAGCGCAGAAGGCAGACAGGATCGACGAGGAGAAGGTGGAGGTGTGAAGGATCGATGCCTGGATGGAGACAGACAAGATGGGCATCGGATCGTGTTTGTGCATGTTTTTGTGTTTGTATGTATGTCACCTCGACATACACATGACCCGTTGTGTCTTGTCAGATGAAGCCGGGAGAGGGGGGGAGGTGGGTCGTTCACACGCGGGATTTTTCGCGGCCTTTTTCCACCGCGGTCTCGTTCTGCCATTCATAAATCGTGTTGCGTGGGGGGGCAGGGTAATTCAGCACGAGCGTCCCGCTGTCTGCCTATTTTTCGTCCACAATCGTCCACAATGCTGCTTCAGGCACGCCTCACCGACTTGCATTCATGTGTGGGCGGCCGTCACGTTTTTTCCGATGCATGTTAACATGCATATTACATACGTACGTGCAGTCAAGGGGAGAGTGGCCCCTCCCTGGCTGTCGGATGCGTGTGTGGGTTTTAAGGCTTCTTTGTCACGGTGTGCGCGAGGCCTGAGAGAGCATGAATGATGAGAGAGGCCTATGTAGGCCGCTCAGCAGCTGCATGGCTAACAACTTGTCTGTTTTTCAGCCCTGGTGCACTTGTCGACGGCATTACGATGGTTGTAGGCTGATGTGGTGCGTTGCCGACGAGGTGATGGCGCCTTTTTTTGTCATCGCCTCGCTACGTTGAGGACGTCTCGACTGACAAAAGATGGCCGCATGGTGGCGGCACTGTTGTGCTTTCTGAGATGTGTGTGCGTGATGATAGACGTACATGCGTGCACATGATGCAGGGGACTTGGGGGGCAAGACGCTTCTTCGCAAATAGCCATTGACTGATGATATACACCACTCTGTCCGACAAATAGGTGCGTCTCACTGGCTAGCTGTACACTCACGCACATATGCGACTTCACGACACAGAACGCCAATCGAATTCATGTCGCAACACGAAGAGAATCCTCACAGTTCGCATCATCTGCAGACAGTACCTCACTCTCACGCTGGCCCCCGAAGTGCGTCTCTGTCTCTTCTGTCGCCAGCCAGCCTCTCTCCCTCACTAGGTGAGCTCTCGGCTGACGACACACAAACAGATAATTCCACCTCCACCACTGCATTTCCAACACCACCACTGGACACCTCCAACCCACGAGAATGACCACCGGACTTCCGGGAGCCCACCCGCGTCATTTCTCGGCCGTCGAAGGCCATGGTGACGTCGTCATCACAACCATCAGCCGATGGCGAATCGTCGGATGAGATGAGCAGCATCTCTTGGGAGTCGGATCGCTCCGTCGTCTCACTTGCGGCTCCAGTGGCTGTCTCGGCGTCCGGCCTGACAGGCGGACGGGCCACCAGTGTCTCGTCTTCGCTGTCTGCCGATGGTAGGTCAAGAGCGGCGTCCTTGTCGGCATAAGAGGGCAGGACACCCTTGTAGGCCGCTTGATAGATCGGATAGGACATAAGCAGCCCCACAACGAGCAACACGGCCAGCAGCGACGACCACCCCACAGAGAGAGTCACGGGCAGCAGCGATAACAGCATGGCGGGCGTGCAGAAGGCGACACAGCCCCAGAATGATCGGATGGGCAGCTTCCATCGCCGGGCGGGTGTATGGGGGTACGTCCTTCTGAAGTAGAGGAAGCAGCTGAACTTGATGAATACACCCAGGGAGTAGAAAACGGCCGACAGACCGGCCAGCGAAGAGAAGTCGAGAAGAGACGAAGAGACCAACGCCAAAGAGAACATGAGCAGCAGGGCCATCACCGGCTGATCACTCTTGTTGCGAGTGGCTGAACACACAACACACCGTGTTGATGCATACATAGGCAGCTCTGTTCCCCTCTTGACCCACCCAATTGACTGACCGAGGCACTTGGGCAGATACCCAAACCCACTCATACACGCAGCAAATTCGCACGCTGTGGTCAAGTCGCCGACCAGCTGCCCAAGAGCAGAGCATAACGATCCAAGAGCAAGGCTCAAGCCCACTGCAGATGGAGCACCGATTTTGGCCGCCACCTCGACAAAGTGGCCGTCGCTCCATGACGAGTAGTCGTCATCCACCGCCGCAGCTACACGACACACGTGGCGGGGCGGGGCGCACAGAAGAAGCCGACCGAGTGTGTGTTTGTCTGTCGGTGTGCGTATGTCGGTCATTTGTCCTCACCTGCCCAGAAAGGCAGTAGGTAAGACAACGACACGATGACGCAGTTCACCAAGGCCGCCACCGGCACATTTGCCAGCTGCTTGTTATCAGCCACTCTGATGAAGGCAGACCCATAACCCGTGTTGGACCAGAATAACACAGACACTCCCTGCATGACAGGATAGCACAACACAAGACAGGCAAAGGGGGACACACAGACAAATGGCATCCGTGTCCTGCCTGCCCTCCCCGAGCCCACCCACCTGGAACCAGTCGAATCGGGCGGGGAAGGGCCGTAGGGCAAAGAAAGCGCGCCAAGGCACCACACAGAGCGTCCACACGATGAGCACGAGCGAGGGCACCAGAGTGCCGACCATCAGCAGGGTGAACAGCCTCCCCACTCTGTCGATGCTGGCCCAGCAGGTTACAAGTCCAAGCAGCAGTATCCCCAAGTTCAAGGTCAGCTCCGCCCATCTGGCGCGAATCGACGGGAAGAACCGGGACAGGTAGTCGACCGACAGGGCCGTGTAGCTGCCTGTCCGCACACAGACGAGTTGCTTCAGCTGCACGAGAGAAGTCCGTGTTTGTGTGGTCACGCACCGAGGATCGAGAACTCGTAGCATAGATAGATGCTGCCGGCAACCATGCCGAAGAACGGTCCATAAGCCGCTCTCGCCCACACCATTTGGCCTGTGGATCACATGGAAAGATATACAGAGTACGCGTGTCAGGTTAGGTCTTTGGTAGGTGTGCCGGACCTCCATTAACGGGCAACAACAACTGCATTTGACACACAACCACGACCCAATGCGCCTGCCTGCCATTCTACGTGTTTGTGTCGCTCGCTCACCGATTGTTCGAGGCATATGAGGCTGTATGGGAATGCATACGCGACACACATGAAGAGCTGTCCCAGAACTGCCAGCCGCATGCCGAGTGCGCGGACCATCAGCTCTGAGCCGTACACACCGCCACTCACACTGAAGAACGATAGACCTATCAGCCCCGCCTGTCAATGAACGCACAGCCAGTGCATACCTAGACACAGGCATCTCTATCAGTCAGTCTATGAGTAGTGATCTGGCGCTCACCAGGCTAAGCTTTCGCACTGGTTCCGTCATCGGTGCGTGAGCGGGCTGTTCCTCGTCCGAATGGCCGCGGGAATCAGCATCCCCGTGCCACAACGAGTCGGACATCAATCGCCAGGAAATCTCAAGATCTCGGGGCCCCAAAAGGTATCTCCCGAGCAACGGCTGAACTATCACATTGCTCTTCCTCTGCGGGTGTGTGTGCTGATTGTCTGCAGGTCCTCGCCAGTGAGCTCGCAGATCTCCCCATCCCACCATGACGGGTGATCTGTCGCCCGGGTCACGAGCGCTGCTGGTGAGACTTGCAAGGCGGCCAGAGCTCAACAACAACTTGTGCGTGCTTGTGGAGTTTCTGAATGAGGAGGGGCGATGGAAAGTTCGACTGCTCGGTCAGTGGACGCAGAGCATGTAAACCACTTTCTGCCCTTTGTGAGCACGTGCGTTCCATCTCAGGTCACAAAGCGCGGTCCCTTAGTCCTGGCCCGATATGCGTACTGCCGGAGAAGCTTCGTCGAGTCCCATCCTCAGCTCTCATCATGACGCTTCCCGGGACTGCCGATAATACCGCTGCCTTTAAGGTGCAGGTGAGAGTGAGAGGCCAGCGGTTGCGCGATGCTCACTGCACTATGTATTGTATTGTGTTGTGCAGTGTTGGTCTTATGGATATGGTCACAAAGGCATCCGGCTAATGTACAGTTACATGCCTTACATTGACAGTAACAATCGAGTCACGTGAATTTTACTTGTGAAACAGGTATGACGCCTTCTTGGGCCGTGAGGCGCTTATCCCTGTGCTGCAGGCAAGTTCAGTAGGACCAAATGAATGGAGCGTTTCTGAACGAGTGAGTGTGTGTGCAGAAGTTCTTCTGTTTCGATCCAGATACGGCAGAGGAGGACGCACAAGGCATCACGAATGAGATGTATGGGATTCCTTCCAGTCCATATCAAGGCCATCTCGGCGACAATGAGTGCGTAATTGTCAAGAGCAAACACGAGGCTCTGTATAATGCGCTGGTGGACTTCGAATGCATTCAATTCATGGGGAGAACAGTGCAATTGGTACGGCTATTGCTGATAGAGACATTCTTGGACTCGCATGATTGCGTCCGTTTATACAGGGCATGCATCGAGACCCGCGTGTGTGCAAGATCTTATTTGAGCACACAGTCGAATAGTCTACTGTCTGTGTGTATGTTGATGATTACTTGCGACTGAGACTGCTGTATTCGTTGGGAAGCCACCATTGTGTGTGGCGTCACTTTTGTATGGATACGTGAAATCATCTCAAGCGACTCAATTGTCTCTACTGGACCCTCGTAAATCACACGCACTCAAAGACGTCATTCTCTGTTCACATCAACGCAAGCACTGCGTCATTCTTTCCCTCTTCCCTACCATATGCTACTTACGATGCCTAGCATGTTCTGCTTCATCCCAGTCGTCCAGCACGGCTTCGCCGTCGCCTCCACCAGACATAGACCCCTCGAATGAGGTCAGTTCCTCCGAGGCACTTTCATATTCAGGCTCATACGCGGCAACGGCCTGGCTGTGACGAAGAGACCTAGCATGTATGATGCTCTCGCGTTGTGCCGGCTTTCTTGTTCGCTGTTGTTGCTGACGTGTGTCTCTTCGAGAGCTGTTGATTGATGACGTGGATTGAGATCGATTTTCAGGCCCAGTAGCTGCTGTCGAGCGCCTTTGTTCAATCAGTCTTGCTTCTGCATCAGACAGTTTTTGTCCGGCTTTCTCCTGCATCTTCCGTCTGGAGAGCTCCACACTAGTCCTGAAGCGCTTCAAGAATTTGCGTCTTCTGTATGCCCGCCACGCGTTTTGGATGGTGCGAGAGGCCCACAGCCGCTTGCTTTTCCTCCTTTGAAACATCAAATAGAACTGTACATGTAAAGGGAAAAACCGAGTGAGACACGGACATCGCGGCCTGTTTATACCTCTCGTATGTCTGTCGGGGTTATGAACTGTACATAGAAGAGGGAGGCACTGCTTCCTTCTCTCTGTTTGGAGTGCCTGATGCGTACCTGGATGTTCGTTACATAAAAGTACATGTCAGCGAAAGCCATTGGGCTGTCGTATATTTCGACAGCGAACATCGTGTCCACGTCCTTTTCTCTCTTCAGCTGTGCCTGCTTCTCGGCCTCGCTCTTCTCGGCCAGGGGATCCTTCTCATGGGCCTCCAGGGCTACTCGCTGAGACAGTCGGAAGACTTTGAACGCCGTCTCATAGTCCTTCGCCAAGCTGGGCTTCGGCGGTAGTGGCCGAGGAGACGCCAGCCAGCCCGCAACTTTGTGCTTCTTCCCTTGTTCGATGTTATCGAGGCTCGTAATGGGAGAACTTTCGTCACCTCTTTCTCAACACCAAGCAGGGTGGGTAGCAATCTACCGCGACGGACATTTCGGCCAACAGGGACAGGTGCGGAATCATCTGCAGCATCAGACTCCACTCGGCTTTCACCGCTCGACGAATAATCGGCCTGGTCTCTGCCGCGATTGTTGTTGTCACTCCCGCCCGGCGCTTCGCTGCAAACCGACGCCCTTTTCTTGGGCACCTGAAGGGCAGAATGACAAGAAACCCACAATAAGGAAGGCATCCGAGCGATCCGCAAGCGCCAATTGGCACTGCGACATCTCCGGAGGACTCAATCCTCCGTCATACCAAGTGTGGCAGCTCGCCTTTCGAGAGGGACCTTCGCGTCTCGATATGCCGCTCCACATCTGCTTTGTCACGATACTGCCAGAGGAACGCTAGCCTAATGGCAAACTCGGTCAGATCACCTGAAATGCACCAAAGATACACACAAGTACGTTGGTTTTCGAGGCACGATTCCTGTTGCTTGCCAGGAATGACGTTCATCCGCATCTTTTCCTGCAGTCAGTGTGTGAATGAATAAAGGGACGGACAGGAAGAGAGAGGGGGAGACATGAAAACAAGGTAGTTGAATTGATGGATGGACGGCAAATGAATACATTCATGGTTGTTTGCGTGTACCACTATGTAATCAGTTGCGTCGGCGAGCCCCTCCACGAAATAGTGTCGCTGAGAGACAGGTATCTTGTCTATACGTCGCCCCTTCTTTGTCTCACGCATGAAAAGAGCTCGATGTCTCTGTTCGACACTCGCTTCAATGCGCTTCATACGTCGTCGTAGAGCGGACTGCTGCGTGAATGAGGGGCTACGGGTGATGGACACCTGCAAATGATGGAAGCGAAAGCCTACTGCGTCGTGTCTCCTCACCTTTGTGTATCTCTTGCCCACCTTGTAGGCTCCCGCTCGGCCACTCATCTCATCCATCCTTCCTTTGCCGGCAGCCATCCGCGCATCCACTTGCGATGCAGCTGCCAGCTCGATCTCAGAGGTCACCATTCAGAACAACACCCTCGGTTCGCGAGCGTGTAGCCTGTTGGCGTAGTTGACGAAGGGCCGGAAAAGCGGCCCCACGACGGGCATAGCTGTGCAGACCACACTTGTGCGCATGCCGAGTGCGTGTGTATTGTTTTCCCCGTCCGCATACCGACAAGCATAGGGTCGTTGCGAATTGCCTTGCAGACCTCAGTGAAGAGGCAGGCGAGGAACCGCACATTGAACTCCACGTTGTTGAGGAGGATCAATGTGCCGATGACGGTGTTTAAGACAATATTCACGTTGAATACGATGACGATTTGGAGTAGAAGCGACGACAAGCACCACGCAGCAAGCGACCGCAGCTCCATCTTATTGAGCACATTCCACGATCGCTTGTCGAATGGCATCGTATTGAACTGGAGGTAGAGAAAACCGATGGCCAGGATCAGATTGAAGGATCTGCATACACACGCACACGCACATGCACGTGTGTCTGTTTGTATTCATGTGCCAACAAATATATAGATACAGACGCAGATTTGTGTATGTGTATGCGTATATACTGACATCTGGATCTCTTCCACGCCTTCGAATGACAACGCGCCCACCAAGAGCACCAGCACCTGTCAACCACACACACATGTCGATAGGCACCGACCCACACACATGTCAACCACACACATGTCTTCCCCTGTCTCCCCCTATCCCCTGTCTCCCCCTGGCACTAGCACCTTTCTCACAAGGATCACTCCTTCCCAGTACCACCTGAACACACACTCCACCGTCACCGTGTCTGTATCCAGGTAGTGTTTTGTACGTACCGCTTGGGCGTGTAGCCATTGTACAAGAAGGCAAACTGCTCCCGTACTTTTTTGTCGTACATCACTTCTCGTCGCAAGTAAAGAGAGTACATTGCGAACATTGGAATGCCGATACTCCAGATGACCAATCCCACGATGCCCACACCGAACCAGATGAAGAAGTCCTGGCTGTCGTAGCATCGGACGGACGTAGCTGATTGCAGCCGGTATTCATCGTTTATCTTCATACATGCAACCTGAGCGACACAAGCACATTGAGAATTGCCAGACAGCTCCTGACAGTGTCGCTATGTCTTTGCCGACCAACTGAACCATGGAAACGGTCTGGCATGCAAACACGCAGAAGGGAGGGAGACACGCACGGGGGGCTAGATGGAAGGACTGCTGTGATCTGATCTGTATCTCCGTGTGTACCGTCGGTCCGTGGATGTTGTAGAGGCAGACAATCCACAAGGGCAGCATATCCTGAAAAAAGGCGCGGAGCCGAGTGCGGATTGTCTCGTTCGGTCCGAAAAAATAGCGCCAGATGCCAAGGAAGCGTTGCGTTGTGAACTCCTTGCACATATACTCAAACAGCGCCTCATGCTCAGGAGAGTGACGAGATGCCTGCCAAAGGGATTTTAAGATCTCGGTTTGGCGTTTTATCTCCTCACTGAGCAAAGCAGGAAGGTAGTGGTTGATGAGAAGTTCGGCTTTCTTTGTTTCTTTCGATTCACCGTTTGCGAAATGCGGCTATTCTGATCAATAGAGACGATATACACGTGATGCACAAAGGGATAATGATCGGCGACAGGAATTTATACAGTGCGATGCATCCGAAATGCATGTGCTGGAGTCACGCCGCTGCCAGCCTGCACAATACAATACCACGATGAGATGCAGGGATAATGTGAGGCTCGCTTACCAGCCTGACGAAGCACTCGATTGACTGATATGCCGTGGGGTCTGATGGCTCAACGATCGAAAAGAGATAGCTCAAGACTTCTCTCAACCAATCCGGCCACTTCGCAGCATGAATGTCGAACTTTCCGAGAATGTTGATGTTCGTATAGTAGCTGATACCGATCTTGAAGACCACACTGCAGACACATAGTGTGAGCGAAGCCTTTGATGTGCACGAGACATGAGACATGTCCAGCCAGGGGCGTACTGTGTGGGGTCCATGGAAGCTCACTCACTCACGTGTGAATGGTTTTGCGGTTGACGCCAGCAGCCATGTTGAGCTTAGTCATGATGAATGCGTATATCCAGCTGGCGATCCCAATGGCGATGAACGCCAGAGCATTGAACGTATCCGACGGACACTCGGCGTACACGCTACCAGGGCTTGTCCTGCACAAATAGGGGAGAGGGGTACTGCTTGTTGCACGCACGAGGTTGCATCCGAATGACTTTCCTTGTAAAGCCTTCCTTGCATTCATTGCACACAATCTGCAAGGAAGAGACACATCTGTGTCACTGTACAAGTACTTCCCTCCTCCCCCACACGGCCTCTTACGCCCTGCATGTTTTGTGGCAGACATTGGTGTTGTTCACGTCGCTCCCGAGACATGCACGAGAGGGGTGGCATTTCATAAAAGTTGGCAGATACTGTACTCGGGATCCTCTCACAGGCGCTGATCGACCGTGTATTGCAAAAAGAGGATTATCAGCGCTTTCCTCCTCTGTCTCGAGGTCGAGGCGGTTGTCAAAACGGAAGTAGCCAGGAGGGGCAAAGGGAGGCACGTGGTCTTCAAAGCTGATTGCTTTGAAGTACGGGTCAACGTGCAGCTGCTGCTGAATTTCGGCTGTAAGCCTTCCCACGCACTTAGCGCTGGATCTGCCGTATTTGTCGGGCGTGAAGGCATCCGCACATTTTCTGCATCGCTCCCCATCAAAGTAATAACCAGCCAGACAGAAGCACTGCTCATACCAAATGCTGCCCTCGAAAGAAGAGAAGCCATCCCCACATGCCAGACACTCCTGTGTATACGCACACACGCATAAGACATGAGTCAAATTGCCTTGGACACAGTGTGCAAGTACGTGACTCTCACTTACGAGTTGCCAAGCCTATCCTTCCATGTCCCAACAGGGCACCTTTTGCACTGCGTGTCGGTCCAATCGAAGCCATAGCCGCGGTCACAAAGGCACTCCGAAATATGAGATGCGCCACTGGTGCGTGTTTTCGTGTGTGGAGGGCACTCAACGGGATGCGTATCCACTGCCATGGGACAATAGTGATCCTCAGGACACGGCAGACAATCTTCATCCTGACCATTTTCGGCAGAGGGTATGGTGCGTCACGTGGATCTTGATGCCTCTTCGCGCACCTGTGGGGTGTTTCTGTAGTAATAGCCGGGGGGGCACATGGTGTCTGTGTGTGTGGGGATCAATGCGGCTTGTTGAAGTTGCCGTGCCGAGAGGGACGCGCCGTGTCGGTCGGGGGCGTTTTCGTGCCAGTAGGAAAAGGTCTGCTGAACACAAGCCAACCACAGCGCAAGAAAGAAGGCCGGAATACAGCTCGACACCCCCATCAGAAGAGAGGAAGGGGGGGGGG